AGGCACTCATTGCAGGTTGTTCCATGCATCAGCTTCTCCTCAGACTGACTCACAGGAGCGCCTTCTCTTTTTCTTGCTGTTGTGTCCTCATATAGAAGATCAGGATGCAGCCGAAGAGGTAGCTTTGCTGGACAGAAAGTCCCAACAGATGTTTTTAGCATTTAATTAGGTTTTCATTTCAAGAGTACATCACCTATAAGGTATCTGGGGGCTTGTCTACCAGAATTGCCACCTGGCCATTTCCCAGCTATGGAGCACACCTTATGGCAGTCACCTGTAATGACCTTTCTGGGCAGATCTGATCTTGTCCTGCCTGAGCAAGCACCAGAAGCTCTGCAGAAGGAGTGTGGCTTGGGAATCCCCAGTTTCTGCAGCATGGCCTTGTTGGCCTGACGTCAGGGCAGCTCTCTGCCTGTGCTAATAAACTTAACCACAGGCCAGGATTTATGAGTTCAGGCCCTGTTGCAGAGTCACAGAAATCCTTTCTATCCTGATCCAAATTAGTGACGCTGGTTGCATCTCATCTGTGCAAACCCAAGTGTCTGCACAGAGCTCCTGTGAGATGGACATGGCGTATCTTGGAGTTTTTAATGCCTGAATCCACCTTGCAGTCCTTGAGGGAGGAAAGTACCTTGTTCCCACTTTAAAAGAGAGAAGAAGGTCAGGTTCAAAAATGCCCCCCAAAGCACATCCACAAAACCCTAGGCAGCATGACAACACCTAAGCCAAACCAACTCCCTTCCTTGCTTTAAACACTATTTGGTTTACCTAATGATGCAACCTGCATGAGTTGTCCCAGGCACTCCTCTTTTCCCAGGACAGGGACTCCCCTGCTATCGCACAGCCAGTCCCTAGCTTGATTGCTGTCTCTCAGCAGCTCTGTGAGCCTTGCCTTCTTACCCAGAGAGCAGTTAGCACATCAGGAAGGCATCAGCCCTGAATTCAGATTGTGGTGCTTAGGGATAGAGACATGTTCTTGGGATGGGGGTGGACCAGAAGCTGGCTTCCTCCCCATGGGGTGCAGAGCACAAAGGTGACAGGTAGACTATGAGTTACCTCTTCTTTCTGGCTGATGGAGGCTTCACGCATCCTATCCTATCCTGGAGTTCTGTGTCCAACTCAGGAGCGTAGGATCTGTTGGAGAGAGTCCAAAGGAGGGCCACAAAAATGATCACAGGGCAAGAGCACCTCTCCTATGGAAATAAGTTGAGAGAGTTGGGCTTGTTCAGCCTGGAGAAGGCTCAGGGGAGAACTTATTGTGGCTTTTCAGTGCTTAAAATGGGCCTATAAGAAAGATGGGGAGAGACTTTTTAGCAGGGACTGTTGTGATAGTATGAGGGGTAATGGTTTTAAACTAAAAGTGGGGAGATTCAGGCTGGATGTGAGGAAAAAATTCTTTACAATGAGGGTGGTGAAACACTGGCACATGTTGCTCAGAGGGGTGGTGGATGCACCGTCCCTGGAGACACTCAAGGCCAGGCTGGATGTGGTTCTGGGCAACCTGATCTAGTTGAAGATGTCCCTGCTCATTACAGGGGGATTGAACCAGATGATCTTTGAAGGACCCTTCCAACCCAAACTATTCTGTATTCTATTATTCGGCTTTGCTCTTCTCTGCATCAGGAATTGTAAGCAGTCATGCTGCACGGTGACTAACCCCATTACTGGTTTTCTTTACATGGCTGTTTTGGTGCCTCAGTACAAGAGAGACATCTGTAGAGTGGAGGAGATGCAGAGAACAACAATAATAAAAAGCAAAATACTGTTGGAAATATCTGTAAGGCAGCAATTTAGAGCCCAGCTATTATCATGCTGGGACAGACCTCAAGTGAAACAAAAATTAATTCACTTGTTAAATATCTCTGAAGCAGGCATGTAAAAAGTATTATTGTCTGTACGTAGATAGCCTGTGTAAACAGCCTTTTCCACTTGGGGCTATGTCTTTTGTAATTATGTATTATTTGCAAGAAGAAATCAGAGCGTGAGGAGTGAATATGTTTCAAATATGTCCAAACCCTGACCAGGCAAAAGCTGTGATTTTAGCTCATTTCAGGGAGAGGAGAACAAGCCCATTCATTGTGTTTATTCTCTTTGAGCTCTTTGCAACAACTGTACTTTTCACTGGAAGTGACTCACCTGGCAAAGAAGATAAGAAACCCAGAAGAACAAAAATATAGTGCTGGAAACTATCCTCTGAATTTGAGGATTACAGTCCCTCTGAAACCGTAATCATATTCAGACCCTTCGGGCCTCCCTAATTACTGAGAGGAAGAGCTATCATTCTTCTCTAAATGTGGTGTCAGCATTTGTTAGGAGCAAATTATCTGCAAACCTTCTCGTGACCTATAAACCTGCAATTTGATATGCCTCACCCAATTTTTATTCTGTAACAAGTGTTTTTTTTTCATAGATTGTTATAGTGGAGTCTCTTTAATCTACCAGGCAACATGTAATAGATCCCATGGCTGGAGGCTGAAGCTAGCTATGTTTCAGCTAGCAAAAAGGTGCACATCTTAACAGTGACTAATTAAGCACTGAAATAACTCCTGAGGGGATATGATGAATTCTCCATTTCTTGAAGTCTCTGAACTTTGTCTTTCCAGGCCTCATGCTACACCTGAAATACAAACTGTGGTCTTGGTACAGCAATTACAGGGAGGGGCAGTGTTACGGTATTTCTTAGTGTCGATGAGAAGACATTTTCCACGTCAAAACTCCCATTTTTTTCTTTTTTCTTTTTAATGCACATAATTAAATTAATTCCTTCTTCCAGTGTCAACCAGTCTACTTCAGCAGAAATCAGGAGGCCACCGCCAACTTATACCAGCAAATAAAGCCAAACTTTTGAAAACATGTATCAGCGATGTTTGCAGATGCCTACTGGGGTACAGAGTAGCATTTTCAGTCTCACTGCTGCCTGTTCCTCATTTTTGTAGCAATGGCTTTCTTTCACTGTCAATCCTTCCATCTCAGGAACAATACATTGCTATTGAAATGTTTAATGAGTCACTTCTAAATATCCCACAGGAACAACAGGACATTTATCTCATGCTGCAGAGCTGTATTTTAAAAATAACTATCTTAAAAAGAAAAAAAAAGTAAAGCACCAACTCAAAAAACCCCAACTATTTTCTCCTTCCTACTTTACAGAAGACTTTCTCTCTGGCTTTCCTTTTTCGTTTCTCATGCACTCTTCACCCGCTGGGTTATGCTGAGGTGACTACGAGGACGCCCAGGCTGAGACTGTCTGTTTGCATTCTTCAGTCGATTTGGGTTGGCTCCTGTTCCCTTGTGTGGGCTTGGCAATGTGAAAAAGTGACCTTGTGGCAAACTTGGGTGTGACCTTATAAAACAGCAACAGCTCTCAGCATGACTGCTGGGTGTCCTACTCTTACTTCATGGAAAATGTGAGGCAGCTTATCCCATGTCCACCGACAAACTGTTTTACATTTATCTTAGGGTGGGAGTGTGAGTCTACAGAGTTATCCTAGCATGGCTAATGCACAGAGTTGCCACATCCTGGCTGTCCTGCTGGAAGCTCTTCTTGCTTTGCTGATGGTGTTATGCTGGAGCCAGATCGTTGCCATACACCTTGGTGCTTCTGTGACTGCAGGACCAGAGCAGCACCATTCATTTCTGCTGCTGCTGTGGCTTTCTGACTTCCTTGCTCCACCTGCTCCTTCAGCTCTGAAGAGGCAAAAAGAGCTTGGAGCTGCTCTTCAAAATTTTATCATAACCTGATACTGATGCTACTCAAAACATGTAAGAAGTAGTTAAGAAGGTAACTGTTGGGCGCTGCAGCTCTTTCCACCATGAGCGCAGCTATCAGAAGATGTGTATGGATTCAAACATCTCAGTTTTGGAATCAAAACAAAGCGCTGTTTTCCTAAGGATGACATTCAGTACAAGGATGTTGAAACCTGAGTCAGAGGTTCTTGCAAGTGTCCTGACACACCAAGGAAAATTACGGAGCCTGCAGCACTGAATGTGAGCCAGAGACAGCTCTGTGTGACCCTGGGTGCTCCTCTGAACTGGGAGATACTTTCATTACTTGGGTCTGCCTGCTCAAGGAGTGGACTCAAAACAGCACAAAGCATTGGCCTACACTGACAGTTAATTGTGGGCCCAAGCCTCCTTGCAAGACTGGATTCACCCTCTGTTTGCACCACCAACAGCTAAGCCACTCCAGGCTGAGCCCTACAGCTCTGCAGTGGTGGCATTGGCTTTTCAACACAATGGTCAGGTGAGGCTGGCCTTATATCTTTGGCATAGAGAGACCTTCCAAGCTTGGAAAGCTAGGTTGGGGGTGAGGGAGGAAGACATATATATTTCTGACAAACCAGGATAGTTGAGGACCTACCATGTTAGGCCGTATTCAGGACTAATAACTGCTCTGTCTGGTTTTATTTGTTATCAGTAAGAAACTTTACTTTTCCTCTGCTATATGAGGTGTTAAGTGTAATACATATGTGTTTGCCTTACTAGTGATGAAATAGTTATGTTATTGGGGTTTTTCATTCAGGCTCTGGTGCTCCTGACAGCCTGTGGTTGTGACACAAACGCCAGAGCAGGCTGCCCCACGTTGATATTCCACACAAAGAGTTGCTTTGACTTGCTCCTTCCCAGTCCCCAATGCACGCACATGCACTGCTTCACTCCTCATTGGAGCAGAAGAATGGAGATAGAGCAGCTGTGAAATACACCTGCCCTCCATCTGCAGCCCTGCTCGATTACATGCCTTTAACTTGGCGATATAGAATAGTTATTCTGTAATATAAATACATTTCTCTCCCCAGCCCATGACTCTGGATCAATCAGCAGATTGAAACAGCAGGAGGGAAATGAAGTAGTAATGTAGGGTGAAAAATAAAGAGTTGAGAGTGTGATCAGCCAACTAAACACCACTAGGGCATGCTCAGTGGGCCTACAGCTGCAGTGGGCTGTGACCATATCTATTAATAGGCCATGCAGAGCACTTTGTAGTCCTAAGAACAATGCTCTTCAGATGTTCAAGCTCTTGTTCCTACTCTGTAACTTCAATAACTCCATTGTGGTGCCTTGTTACAGTAGCTGACTCATCAGAAATGATGAAAAGTCTTACTCTAGTCTCCTCCGACTAGAAGACAGAAATCCTGCTCTTCATTTCTAGAATGAAGAGACTATAAGAAAGAAATAATGCTGAGACTGTAAACTCAGCCCTAATGTGGGCAGGAGGTTGCCCCTAGAGCATCTGTCTTGCTCCAGGCTTGATGACGGACACGAGGGGAAAGGGTTGGGGTGGAAGGAAGACGGTTTGGTTTGTTATTTCTGTGGAAAAGGACCTGCTGCATCCCAGGCCCAGGGGACCAGGCTCTTACATGCTTGTAGCTGGACTGAGTGTGCCCCAGACCCTGTGGACTGTCACCTTCACCATGTCATCCTACAAACTGTCTGTCATTTTAGGATCATATACCTCCTGCAAAGCAGCATGCACACCTACACAAGAATCTGTATCCCTAGACCCTGTCTATGGTGACAAGCAGGCACATCTAAAGTACAAGTTATTTCCTTTTAAAGACATTTAAACTTAAGGAAGAAGATTTCTACCTCTCACTCAAGAGACACAGTATAGGGGAACTGGGCAGGTCAGATGTTTAGCAGGTTTAGAGAAGCTAACCTTGTACATCAGGGCACTAGGAACCTGTTACTCTGTGAAGATGTCCATAACACCCTTGGGCTGCTCCAGTCCCTTTCCCCTGCTGGTCTGTGGCTGGAGTCAAAAGTGAGTGCTGCAGCTCTGTGATTAATTCTCATCTTCCCCATGACTGAGGAAGGAACTTGGGGTCCCCAGGGGCAGTGGTTGTTTACTGCAGGACACAGCCCCGGAGGACTGGAGTCTGGTGAATGTCTGCAGTGCTGTCTGAAACTCAGGGGTGAAACCGTGCTTGGTGGGAAAGAGCAGCAGCTCTGTGGGAGATAAATGCTCGAGGGAGAGGGTGTACCCAGAGAACAGCAGAGGAAGCATGTGTGAGGCAGCAGCTGCAGAAACAGGCAGCGGGGAGGTGGTAAGTGCTTGGGAACGAACACTGGAAACGAGAAAAGGCAAAACACGGTGATGGAAGGAGGGGTGAAATGAGGGCTGTCAGTGGAAACGGCCAGGGGACAGTCAGTCCTGCATGGGGACAGGGGCACTCTGGTTAGCACTGTCAGGGTGCTTCAGCCACCACAGCCACTGCAGGCTGGGAAAGCCTGAGTGCAGCCACTGGGGCTTGATGGGGCACGTCTCCAACTCAGAGTGGGACTGCCATCTCAGCCACTGTGGGCTTGTCTGTGTAAATGTAGTTATTTAATTGAATTACCTAAGCCAGGAGCTGAGTCACCCCAGAGGAGCATTGGTAAGCTTTTTACACCTTGCAAGGTCTCCTCTCAGGCCACCAGCAGTGGCAGGGCAGGCTGGTTGGGACACTGCACTGTAGGCTTGCCAGCCCTGCCTGAGGCTCCTTCCCCCAGTCAACGGAGCAGCCAGGGGAGCAGCCTACCTACAATGACGCAGCGCAGAGAAGAGAAGAGCCACCTTCCCAAGGTGCATGTTCCCCTCCTCAGACTGTAGGAAGAGCCTGAAGCAAAGACAGCCTTTTGTTTAGGGATCTCAGCCAAAAAGGTCAAAGTCTGAGACAATGAATCTGGATATCCATGTAGATACATGGTATATACAGCAAAGTTAGCATTGTGTAGCAGAGTGAGAGTAGGTGAGTCATCTTGGAGATCACCAGAGCTGACTCTATGGTTTTCTGCACAATAAGCACCACTTCTTGCGTAATTTGAAATGCATATGACGTGGGAGCTGGTGTGTTGGCTCCGTGTATTGCACATTTCAGTTGTCTGGAACAACTAGCTCTCAGTATTAGTTTTAAGATAAAGCTGGTGTGAGGTAGTGAATGACAAAATATTGCTGGAAAACGATCAAGCTCTTAAACAAGCACTGAGAAGCACATGTTAAAAAATTCCTTCAGTGTATTGATTGTACATTACAGTTTAGAGATAAGCAGATTTTCCAGGAACCCAAATAAACCAGCATCCAGGGCCTTACTCATAAGGTGTATCTGAAAGTCAACAATACTGAATGTTTGTATGCTATTCACCAACTTCTTAGTTGGTGAAAAGCTTGATAATTTCTGTTTCCAGGACTAGACATACTATTTTGGCACATTCTGTCGAGTTCTTCTGGCAAATTGAACACAGGTATACTCTAGCCATTTTGGACTGCAAAAATATTTCTGAAGGCAGCAACAAGGCTGCCTAATACCAAGTCAAAATGAGACTTCAAGGCAAGATTTTTTGTCCTCTCCTCTCCTTGCAGCTGACAATGCCAGTAAACAGCACATTCCCAGTATACTGGTCTCTTTCTGGTCTGTCCCCTGTGTTTCCTCACACAGATGAGTTCCCAAGGCAGAAGGGCAAAGCCTGCATCATGCAGCAGCCAAGGAACCTGTGTCTTTCCCAGCCAAAGCCCCACAACAGCCCTCCGTGCCCATGAACAGGCACCTCTGTCCCACTAAGTGACCCATGAAGGGTCTTTCAGACCCAATAACTGATGCAGATGGATGTGCATGGCCCAAAAATATGCTGCCTCCTGCCACATGACCTAATACAGTGGTGGATACCTCTGCTGCATTCCAGAAGCTAGCAGTGCAGGGGGATTAGAAGTACTTAAACCTACATGTCTGATCAATGACTTGTGTGACAGTAGGTGGGTGAGAAGAACATAATGAAGTAAGCAGCAAGCCTGGAAATACCATGGAAAAAATATGGGGATTGGAGTGTGGTGGAGGATTGCAGTTTGCCATGTTTTACCTGTGTATCACATTCTCCTCAATCCTTTTCTTCACTTATTAATTGCTGGGATAATGCAAGTGAAAAAGCATCCAGACCCATCCAGTCTGGTTTGCAGGACACATAGGCACTGTGTTTTTTAAATAAAACCACTGTAGCAGCTTTAATGCAGAGAGCATCACAGGAAAATATTTTATGTTGTGGATTCACTTTCCTATTGGGACCTGTATTAATAATACCTATGTCCAGTTGTTAATAATACCTATGTCCAATGAATGCTTTGTTTAAATCTATATTGAAAACTTATTTTTACAATGGCATTCTTCTGTTTAATGGGATTTGACACGTTGGCTCTGGTGTAGCAGGCAAGTTGTTTATATAAAGCCTTGAAATACATTTCTGAATGGTGCTATTTAAATACTGCATGCACAGAATTTTACTATTTTATTGTGCAACTATAGAAGGCTTCCTGTTCTATACCATAATACAACTTGTTATTTTTCCAGCACACACATTATACTGCATTCAACTTCTGCACAAGGTAGAAGAACTCAAATTAAATTTACAAGCACACCTGAGCAAAGCTAGTTGTGCTTGATCCGGCTCTGGCCGGATCATGTTTCCATGATTAAATAATGATGGCTATTATAACACATTGCAAGAAAATGCAGCTATAAATCCCTCTCAGTTTATTTCCAATGCTTCGTTGTACCATAGAAACTCTGCTGTACTTTCTAGTAAGCAATAGGCCAGACATGGGACTGGGTCACCCTGAGCAGATGTGTTAGATGCTAACTCTGAGAAGATAAGAGTAACAATGCTGCTCTCCCATGAGTTTCCCCCTGAAGGACCTTCCCATGCTACACAAACATTAATAAATCGATCTTCACTGAATCCCACAGCAGTTTATTAACTGAGGAAATTGGTTCGCAGAAAGATTTAGCAGTTTGCTCAAGGCCAGCAAGTAGATCCACAGCAAGGAGAAAGAGCTGGGGGATTGTGTTGGAGACCATCTTTTATTGCTGTTTAATGTTTAACCTTAACATTTAACACAGTGTGCTGAAGGCACGACAGCGCTAGGTGTTCACATTGTCAGAAGTGAATGGATACTGGTTTTGGAGACTAAAAGACAACATGCCTCCAGTGAAGCAAGTCCTTGCTGAGCATGTCGGTCACCTTGGGGACCCACTGGGGTAGTAGCTCCCTTGGGGGTGAGGGACCATCTCCTGCCTGCTTGTGGGGCTGCTTTGGGATGAGGATGAGAGGTTTGTGGCTCCACTGCTATCCTGACTGGAACCTGTCGCTGGGTCTCTCAGGGGTCTAGGAGGAGCTCTTGGGGTCTACGTGTACCCAGCTTAAAGAGCAGAGCCATCTGCTCTCTTAGGTGCTTTTCCCACAGTCATCCAGGTCACACTGCAGCTTGCAGATAGCTTTCCTTTTGGTGAAAACAAGGGTGACAGGGCTATAGCGGTTGCTGATACATACCCAGCCCCGAGCTGTCTACAAGACATGGCCAGGGCATATGTCTGGGGACACCAGGGCAGCTCAACCCTCTCTCAAGTTCAAGGTTTTTACAGGTAGCTCTGACAGTTTTGCATTTTAGTAAGATTTCTTATTTTCCAGTCATTTACAGTTTTGCCAGGATTTGACCATTGGAGTAAATTTTTCCAATCCAGGTGTTTGCCTCAGGCTGAATTAGCTCAGATGGGGGTTGGCGGGGAGAATTTCATTTAGAGCTGTTTCTCATGACCAGGACTCAGGCTGAGGGAAAAGGCTACCTAAAAAAATGTTGTGACTTACCCTTTGAAAGTCTCCAGTGCTATGTGGATGAAAAGATAGCTGTGTAAGGGAAAGGAAAACAGAGCAGACAAGGAATTGGGGTCTATGGGGACAATTCAGGTTGATATCTATTGTGGGGAGAGGGGTGGAGGACCTGGATGTGGTGAACCAGCACAGGCAGTCTACCATGACTAAAACTGGGAGGATGAGCTCAAAACCCACAGGTTTTATGGAATGGGATGGAATTGCTGAGATTGGCAGAGGTTTGCAGTGGGGCAAGTCCTAAGGGGTGAGGCAGAAGTGGGTTAGGACAAGGGTGACCATTTAAAGTTCTGCACGGAGGAGAAGACACTAGTCCACAGCCTGGACTGAGTCTGTTCCTACATTTCCCAGTCCATTGCTGTCAGTGTTGTTGTATGAAATCACTGCTGACAGCATGTTTCCTCTCTCATGTACTGTTAGCGCAGGCTCTCACTCTACAGGTGTGGTCCTTTAGCTGCCTCAGCAAATCTTAACACCGTGATGTTTACCTTACTGATAAGTCATGTGGATGTCATGCAACCTTACTTAACTCCCTTTAATTTTGTTTTTAATTGCACTTGGGGTTTCTTCATGTATCCAAAATCCTTTAGTCTCACGCTGTGCACTAAAAGGACATGTCTCAGCTAGCAAGCACCTATTCAATACATTATTTTCCAGTATATTCCTGATTTATACTATGCTCTTTGAATCCTAGAATACATTTTCCTTATGGGACTTTCTATGGTGCTCACATCTGTAGTACAAGAGTTCCCCAAGTATTAGTTGCTTCATTTTAGCAAAACTTCTTTGTGATGAGATATCAAGGTATTGTCATTTGGCAAATGGGCAGCTAAGTCAGCACTGCAGCTGCCCAGTTTAAATCCACTGGGACTTGATTTTTCAGAGCTCTTACTATAGGATATGATGCTGTGAATTACCTAAGCATTGCTCTCCCTGACTCAGCTGAGTCTGAGAGCTCAGCACTTCTGCAAACTAAACCACTGGGCTTGGAATTCAGGCACCTAGAAAGTAAAAAAGACACAATTAGAGCCCATCTATGAAAAGCTCAGCTGAACAGTGTTTCCAAGCCCTCTGGAACAAAGGAGGGGATAGGATCCAAGGATGTAATTTTGTACTTTCTCTTCCCTGCAGTCCCATTCCTCATTTACTTCTAGCTTTTGTAATAACATGAAGTAGAGATGCTGCCATAGCCACAGAGGAGGTCTAATTTGCGTACTGAAGGAAGGAGCCGTGTGGAAAAACAATGTCTGAGCAGATAGTACAAACCATGTATGTATAATGCATGTAGGCATGGGAGACGAATTAAGGTAGCAAAAGTAATTTCAAATTAACATTTTCTAACATTAGTGTGCTTGTTCTGCCAAGATAATTCATTTTCCGTCAAAGCGGGTCTCTGATTTGTTTTGGAATAAAGTGTAGTTATTCTAATTCTGTGCAGGAGATAGCCAGTTTTATCTTTCTTACAGAGTATTTTTTCAAGTGGCAGGGTGCCCTTCTCTTGACATTCCTCATCAAGTTGTGTTCAGTGTTTGAAGATGATAAATGTGCATCAAGCTCAGCATTTCTACCACCACCTACCTGCTTTGGCTCTTGCTTCATTAGAATTTCAGCAATGTGCTGGTTCATGGCAGATAACCTCCTCTCCCTCTCTGGAGCGCCTGTGAGTGTGTGTGTAGGGGGTGAGTGAACGAGTGCATTTCTCATCTCTCCGGCACTTATTACATTCCTCTTTCTCTACCTCCTCTGCAGCAATAAATCAATGCTACTTGTTATTGTCTACTCCTTGGGCAGCGTTTCAGGGGCAGAAGCAGGCTTTTCTGGCTATAATATTGTAGGTTTTATCAAAAGCTAAAATAGAAGTAAAAAGCTAAAGTAAATCAAAGACTTATTCTTGCAGATTCTGAGAGGAAGGACCCTATTGTGGTCATAATAACTACATCATCCGTCAAGACAGGCATGCTTTGCCCATGCAGGCTTCAGTTACCAGTCCCAGCCCTATGCTGCCTGCACAGGCAGGAATGGGGAGTGTGTCAGTGGGGTGGTGTTTCTGCTTCCATTATGGGAAGGACAATTTAGGGTTTCTGGTGCTCCTGGCTTTCCTGACTGGAGGCATCCTCAGGGCTGGGATGCTGGATGCGCCTTTCCTGTGCATGTGCTGAGATGGGTGTGCACTCTTTGCCCTTCTTCAGAGAGTTAATAGCAAATGAAGCCCTAAAAATATGTTGTGGAAGGAGTAAAATACAGCCTGATTATTGTTTACTCTGACAAGAGCAGAGAAACATACAGTGGTGCCTGTGGTGAAACTGTAGATGTGATGCTTAGGGACATGGCTTAGTGGTGGACTTGGCAGTGCTAAGATAACAGTTGGACTTGATGATCTTAAAGGTCCTTTCCAACATAAATGATTCGGTGATTCTATGATTCTAAATAAAGAGCAACATCACAGCGGGTCTGTGGCTTGTAGCAACTCCCTGGAGTAACTGCCCAGAAGGCCTCTGCCTTCTTGTTTGTTGCCTGCTTTCTAATCACAACAGACTGTTTTCGTCCACACAGGCTTCCTGATTTTCTACAGGAAAAAAAGGCCTTCCCACATACCTGGCCCAACAAGAAGGGATTAGATGTTCCTGCTCTCCACTAAGGACACCTTAAAGAGATGGGGTGGAGAAATAGTGAGAGAACAAAGTGGTGCGGTGGAGGAGAGGGTGAGAATGCAAACAAGAGCCTTCTGGAATAGAGGTGTTTTGCTGATCCAAGCCCAGAAGCACAAAAAAATACCTGGCACATATGCTTAGGCATCCAGGACCAAATTAAACAGGCAGGTTTAAAGCTGGGGTTGCATCTGGGTTTTTTTCATCCTTAACTCCTTCCAGTGTTATCTAGGGTAGCTCATCTGGCAACCCTCATGCTGAAGTTACTGAAGGATGTTTGCAGGCAGATTCTCAGAGTCTGAAGTGCAATAAAAGGCCCCCTGACATATTAGCATGTTTTTCTTGTGGCTTCGTAGACACATCTTATGTTTTCTTTCTGCAGTGGCAAAAGGGGGAGAGTTGAGGGGTCCCCCCAAGCAAGAAATGTACTTATCAACTCAGTTTGTCAGCAACAGCACTGCTAAAAGCATGCACACACATGCACCTCTTTCTCTATGTCTTCCCTAAACTTTGCCTAGGTTTTTTTTATTAAAATGGCTGCCTCGAGCTACTGATGAACATGAGCCTGTAACATGAGATGTGCAGTGTATAAAAAACCCACTAACTTTTATACAAGCTCAGATTCCTTCTCCTGCTCTGATTTTCACTGTTTGTTATTGGAAGGCTTCCCCAGCTCCCTACCCTTGTTTTCAAGGGGACATACACAGGTCATACTGCATTTTTCTGGCCCTGCAGGGAAGATGATGCGCTTGCATCAGGCTGCATTTGGGTATAGCCCTCTCTGCCATGTTGCCGACTGTGAGGACAAGCACACAGGTCATGCAGTGGAGAGGCAAGCCTGACATGCAGAGACGATCCATCTCTTTGATGAGGCTTTTTGAGGCTCCAAAATATGTGTGATGGCAAGCAGATAAAAAAGTATTACATGCATAAAGGAGAAGGGATTTTTATCTGTTTGCTTGTTTGCTCTCCTTTCCTAAAAGTAGGAAAGCTTTTTAGGAAAGTTGACTTGTGTGCGTGGACTTGTGTTGTGATAAACATCAGATGGGTTTACAAATACAGCACAGCCTTTGAGGGACAGGTCTGGTTCAAGAGCTCTCCTTGCTCCATGGCATGGTGGAGGGGGACAACCTGGTACAGAAATGGGGGGAGAGTAGCTTGGGAACAACTGGCATTAGCTTTGGGTTTTGAGGAAGCTGTGGCCACCGCTGAGAAGGTGAGGTCTTGTAGTGCAGCTCTGACCTCCTCTGGCTGCTGCATCTGGGGGTTTCCAGGTGTCCACATCCCCGAAACTCACCTGATTTGGGGAGCTGGTGGTTTCTCTTCCCCCCAGGCACTGCACTGTAACTCAGAACCACTGAGACAAGTGACTGTTTAAGACAAAGTGAATTGTCCATAGCCTTGCTGTCTTTCTGCATCTCATTTTTCCACAACTCTCTCACTTGCTGATTATAATTGCCCTTTAATTGCTTGTACAATTTCAATTACATAACAAGTAAGCTATACAGTAGCTGCCAAAAGTATCTGTTAAGTTCTCCTTTTTTTTTTTTATTATTTCTAATTGAGTTTAAATATTTTCACAACTGTGATTGCCATAGTCCTGACAGAGAGGTGAGGTCAGTCAACAAATGAACTTACTCTGCATTCTGTCTGCTTACTCCGGGCACAAGTTCACCAGTTTGCTCTGTAGAGATTGTTATTTAGATCTGGTAATGCTGACCAAACATCCTTAATGTGGACAAAAGGATTTCATGGTTTATGCAGTCAAATGCTGTAGGGATATCCAGCAGTGTGAAAGCAGGCAACAGCCAAGAGCAAATCCATCACTGTCACTAGTGCTGTTTCCATTTTACATGCCAGCTAGATGCCGAACTGGAAGAAGTCCAGGATCTTTGCAGGGTTCAGAGGGAGATAGGACCAGCCCTTCTCAAGCGCTTTTATCATGTTCAAGGAGGGTGAGATCAGATAATGGGTTACAGTGAGAGAATTTGCTTGCATAAAGCAACAATATAGTCCTAATAATAAGCTTTAGGTGGAGTTTAAATGTCTCTTCTGGAAGAAATCATGAGTGATCTCATGTGGGGTTGCTTTGACTTCTTTTTTACTTCCTGGACAGAACAGAAAGGGGCAACTGAAATGGAGAGTCTCATCGGAGGCTCTCCCATACTCCTGTTGTGTAGAATAGTTGAACTGTGAGGCAGAGAGTATTGACTTATTGGTCAATGAGGAGCCTGTATGGAGCCTTCTTTCTTGAAATGTCATAAGGAGGGAGATAGTTTTCTTCAAGGAGCAGGCTGACAGTGATGGGTAATAGAGATGTTCAAGGATGACAAGACTATCCATGGCTCACAGTAAGGCAGCATTAAGAAATTCTGTGGCTAAACCTATGTGGATGCATTTCAGAATTAATAGATTTATAATACGATATATGACTGTGGGTATATTTTAAATCATCAGGAACCTGGGTTTAGAGTAGCTGTTTTAATCTTGTTTGGCTTTCATGTTTGTTTATTTTCTTTAAGGAGTATATATTCTCATTGCTTCGTAAATACTAAATTACATATCTTAAATAGGGCAAGGCTCTTTTAAACTACATTTTGTTCTTTTTGTAAATGTTAACCAAAAGCACAAGAGTTACTAGAGGATACACAGCATGGGAGGCTCCTGATTTAAACAGTTATGTAGCATAACATATGTTTATTTGGAAATGTAACTTTTATCATTTTTATTAGAGCAGGAATTTTTATTATTCAGTTTGTGTCAGATTCTATTCCCACAGAAACTAGAATTAAATGAAAAGTGAAAAGGACAGAATTCCTAAAATACATTCATTTTAAAAGGATGCATTTATGAAGAAGAGGCAATTGAACTGATCTGGTTGTCTGGGTTTTCAAGATTTGGATGAATATGGCTCATCCTCTCACCCCAGAGACTAGAAGAGGGAAAAGACTTCTCCTGGTTCTCCAACTCTTACATACACTCTCAGCTGGAAGTGAATAAGATATTGAACTGAACTTCATCCATCTGTCAAATACCCATGGTCAGTATCTGACAACTTTTATTCTTCTGGCTTCTTTGGTTTTAGGTTAGTATGAAAACCATGGAATTCCAATGGTGGGATCTATATAGAGACTAGGAAAAATAGAAGGAGTAATAAGAAATTTCATTATCAGACTTTTCCATTCTTACCCCCTAAAAGACCATGTGTTCATCACTAGAATCCATTTCTTTTTCATTAATGATCCTTTCCTGGAGCAAATGTCTGACTATCTGGCCTGTCTCTCTCCTTCCTTCCCTTCAGTGGCTAGAGGATTTGGGGATGGTCAGAAATACTGCAAGCGTCAATGCCTCCAGCTTCCCTCAGGAAATGGAAACAAAAGCAAACCTATCCAAACATTCTGAACTCTCTTTAAAGTCTTGCAGAAGTAGCAGAAGGTTTGAGGTCGAGTTTCTTAACCTGTCTGAATCGGGACTGTCTTCTTTGACATAAATCAGGAAAGGAAAAATTCAGCCTTCTGCTAATTTGGGTAGGGCTACAATGATAATTTGACTGGAGAGATTAAAGTGGTACAAATGAAATAACAGAAACTAAAATTAATGGAGCTGTAAATGGGATTGCATTGTGCAGGGCCCCTACATATGGTTCAAATTCGGTACTTCCTCTGTATCTGACAGAGTTCTTCCAGCAAGAATACATCTGAGGAACCGCTACTGCACCCACCATGAAAGCATGGAGAAGAAAACCTCACCCTGTGGGGTCTGTTCACCATTCTTTCTCCCATGGTGACTCTTTGTGCTTTTATTTGTGCTTTCAACACAGGTCTGAGTTTGCTCTCATAAGCAGACTTGTCTATCACTCAAGGTATGAGCCTCAAGGCCAGCTCTGGCAGGTCACCTTGTTTGGATACTTGTTGAATTTATATACTCCATGAGATCAGTTAAGTTGCTCACACATAGATACCAAGAGCCATCTGAGATACCATGAGATAGCTGAGGTACCCAGGCTGGCCTGACAGATACGGCAGAACACCTATAGGAGGCACATGTCCACCTGGAGAGGCAACTGGAGGCCAACCATACTATTGCAGGATAACTCCAATGTCCAGTGAGTTGGAAACAGTAGCATACACTTGGTGTCTGCAGGTTAGCCTGGTGTGTAAGCGTCCAACGTAGTCAACTGAAATCTGAGTCAGTGCAGTTAGCAGTGATGGAAGAGCTATTCTGGGAACCAAATGCTGAGGTACAACTCAGTTGCTTAAATATAGGTATCAATTTTCTTTTGAGATATCCTCTTATATTTGAAGTATTCACACAGGACTGGCAGATATGATTTGACCTAATAGGAGATTAATAGTCTCCAGAAGGAACAGCTAGGCATCACGTAGGTTAAAAAGCCAACCAGCACCTATGTTTTGCAAACAAATCTAAAGGCGAGCACATGCTCTGTGGACTGAACACCAGCTGATTCAGGTTTGAAACCAGCCCAACTGCAAACACCTCAAACTTGGCTCTTCCTGTGTTAGCTATGATGAGGTTTCAGCACATGGCATGAATGAAAAGCATGTGAGTCTTAATGCTTGTGAGTTAACGTGTTGCCAAGTTCATTCTTCACTGTGTAGACATACAATTCCCAATTAGCCTATGCCAACCATTGACCAATAGGCTGGCCTTGCAAGAGCTCTGAGTAAGCAGTGTGTATCATGTGAACACAAACATGGCAGGAAGTGGGCCAGATACGAACCTCACTGAAATGGTGAATTGTGTCTAGGTATTAATCTGTCTTTAAATTCAGTATTTCTATTGGACATAATTATTACCATTGGCATAAACAGTGAGCTATCCCCCTTGCTCAAGCCTGCTGTAAGTCTGACTTTTTCATGTCTGCTCTTAATTGTTGCCAGGGTTCCCTGTAGTAGCATAAGCCTGTTTAATATTACATGGTATGAGAAAATTAAATGATCAATATCAGGTTAAGAGCACTTAGTTGTTCTTTCTTTGCATTTGTAATTGTTGGCGTGACAAGGAAATAATTACTATGCTGAGTTTATTGTCCTCTATTGGTGATTTTGTTCCGGTATGGACATGTCTGATTTAAATTGTCTATAATATTGTTGTCTTGGAAGGAAATAGAAAGGAAAGGGGAAGGGAAAGGAAGTAGGAGAAATTAAAGGCTGATCTAAGATTAACATAATGTTTACTCTGGCTCTTGGCAAGGTCTTTTTGTAAAAGGAGACTCCCAAAGCAAAAATCATCTAAAGTGGATTTGTTTAAAGTGACACTGTCAACTTAAATGTCACACTTCGGGATTTTTTTTTTACTCCATGTTGTTATAAGTAACACCTAAACCAATTATACCCCGCTAATGTGATTGGAACACCTCAGATTATTACAGCTGACAGACCAGAGGAAAAGTATTCTCTGTATTTTTGGCTTGTTTTTATTGCAGTTGCATGCACTCTGTCCATGATCACCAACTCATATGGAAAGCTTGCGCACAAAAAGAGCCATGTAAATTTGGGCCATGCCCATATCTTCTGTAGTTTCTTATTGACATGAAAGAATCAACAGCTGATTTTTTTATTTTTTCAATTTCATCACTTCCCTATCTGTGCATTAGGGCTCTTTCCCGCTGTTTGTATAGCTTTTTGATAGAGTAACAGGAGAGAAAAAGAACACCATCAATGGGTTTAGAAAAAAGATTTTTAAAACTAGCAGGGGAAGTAGAAAAACAGAAATCCCCATCAGTCCTCTGCAGGGAGCAGGTACCCTCAGGGTCCTTGCTTTCAGCCACACAGAGACAAGCCAGTCCCTAATGAAAAGATGCCAGCTCCATCCAGAAGCCGGTGGGAGTGGGCTGAAAAAGAGATCCCTCTAACTGAGATACTTACAAGTCACCGGTGTCAGCATTAAGACATCCTGGGAGGAGAGAATCATAACTGGTTACTCACTGCCTTTGTTTAGCTGCCTTTGGAGGTTTCAAGGGACCTGAAGAAAAAGACACTGTGGCATGTGCCAACTGTTGACTCTATCAAATAATAAAGCAATCCCAGTGGGTATTAAGAAGCTTGGAATCATCCTAATGAGTCTGGCAAAATCTCATTAGGATGAACAGCAGGTGATGACAAAATATTTGCTCTGTATGCAAATGAGTTGTTTCCTTCTCCATCTACACGTGGTTGCATGAGTGCTCATTTTGAGCACTCAGGAGCTGTCAGATAATTACGTGCTGGAGTAAAGCACTGCATCAGCTAGTTGTATTTCAAATGCATCAGTGTCAAAAATGGGAAAAATGCTGGAAAAGAGCTTTGCTTTTAAGGTGAGAGCCTTCTTCTATCACCAAACTCTCAGCCTCCTTTCTGCGCAACAGTTTTTCTGGGCATCCAGGCAATCCAGCTGTCTTTCTCTTCTAAGCAAGGGCATATGGGCTGCAGGTTGTCAAAACTTCTTCAAGAGCTGTGAGCATAGAAGGCATGGTGGAAAGTGGAGGGGGGTGGGAGGTGTGCTGTATAATGAAAACAAGAGAAAACATGGCAGTTCCTGTTGTCAGAGGCAGGTTACCTGCACAGACCTGCACCTGATCTATCCTTCTAGTTCAAAACAACTCTACTAATCAAACAGGAAATATCCAGCTGCAGGCTCAGATACTGCTGTTTGTATAGTAAATCGCTGCTTTGCCCCCTTCTGCTGCCTGAACATCAGGCTGTGTAGGCCCTGATATTGTTCAGATCCTGAAGGTGTTTCTGGCATAGCATGCTTCTATTCTCTCCAGCATACCATTAATAATGCTCCATACTTTTGTTTTTAATCATGTTGGTATTTATTTGTTGCTGCAGTCCTTTTTCTACTCCTCATACATGTCAGAGGCAAAATTCTTGCATGGAAGAGATTAAAGTCCCCAAGAGCCGCATTCTTCTGTGTGTGCCGGGGGAGAGGAGGGCAGGGGAGTCAAGTCAAAGAACATTCCAGATTAAATAACCCACACCAGGCAAACACAAGTGTTCCTGCAGATCTCTTCAGTGCCTGGCAGTCAAATACCTCCGCTATACTTTCCCCATGTAATTATGGTCTGCTCTCAAAAAAGGAGTCGGGAATGCATTTGAAGCCTCCCTTCTAAAAACACCCCTAGGATCCCCAGGGCCATGCAAAACTGCCAACTCTGAAAGGCAAAGGACTATGTGTATGAGGACCCTGTGCTCCCACCATATTCATTGTCTTTTATCTGGAGATGGTTTGCTACAGGCTCTCCATCAGAGGGTGAGTTTAGTAAGCTGATTATGGGAGAGAGCTGTTTACTTTCTTGCTAATGTCCAACACAGATGGGCTGAAACAATACTACAGAGCACGAATTTCCTCCCTCACCATCCAGCAACCTGCAGCCCAAATCTTATGGGTGTCAAGGAAAGGGGAGCAGTCCCATAAATTGTTCCCTCCACAAAGGGACAAAAAATAATACCATTAGATGCAGCTTTGTTTTCCAAGCATGTTAAAATGAGTTATTATCTGATTTTCGTAATAGTGATTATTTTAAATTATTGATAATGCTGTTAAATGCTAATAATATTAGGTGCTTTTTAGTCTGTAGATCTTTATCAGAAGTGCTTTTCAACCAAGCGCTTTGCCAGGTAATGTCAATATCATAATTTCTTTCTTTGTAAGTCTGGGAAGTCTTGAAAGGTCACCAAATAGGTCAGCAAGACAACTGAGAAGCCATGCCTAGTTCTCCTGATTCCCAGATCAACACCTTCTGAGTACAGGGGAGCTGTGGCTCACTTCATTGTTGCTGTGGACTGGGACATGCAGAGCTGTGAAAGCTCCTTCTGTGGCTGGAGGTTTTTAAGAATAAGCTGGACAAATATCACCTGGGGTAGCATGGAGTGTGTTTGACTCTCTGATCACGAGGTCTAGCAGCATAACCTCTTGATATCCAGACCTCTAGCCTAGGACTTGATGACTGATGTATCCTACATGGTATGTATCTTAAATTTAATAATTGTGTTAAATTGACGTCTGTAGTCAAGTGCTGCCAAAATGAGAGCGGGCCAAGAATTACAGTAAGTGTTAAAATGCAGGCTCGGCAGGGTTTGCAGGGCAGCGAGGCTTGTCCTCATGGGTGGGTTATGCACGCCAAGGTAGCATGTTCCAACTCAAACCAACAGCATCACACAGGGCCTGCAGCCTTCTGGTTCTGCTTAGCACAAAACCAAGCAGTACAGACAGGAGAGCACAAGCCCTAAGCACTATAGGCAGGAGCTAGTATATGCTGCTTGGCCTTGGTAGCAGTCCTTGCGTTCTCTTTTTTAGGAGTAGAACTGTAGTCTGCTGGAGACTATGAGGACATCTTACTCATGCAGAGGCATCTAGTGCTATCTAAGATACCAAAACATAACCTGTATGGCTTTCATTTGTTCCTTCCAAAGGGAAAAGTTTCATGTAAGACCTCTAGTATCTGGCAGGCTGCACAGATTTCTTGGGTACCTTAGAGATATGGAATGGCACTAGAAATCTGTGTTTAAAGAACAAGACCCCCTGAAAGTCCATGCTGGAAGGTGGTCCAGTTGCTCAAGCTCTCATTTGAGTTTTTGCAGCCTGAACTGAGCTCTATGCTTTTGTTGCTGAGTGAGTTTACAGTTAACAATAACAAGCACATACCCGCTGCAGTCTCAGAGGTGTCTGTAGAGCAGGCCTACCCTGAACAAGTGATAAATACCTCTGCCTAGTCTTGTTGCTCCTCTAGGCCAATAGTAGTACTGCTCACTTGTGAATTACTTTGAGACTTAAAGTAT